CAGGATCTTGAACCAGTCTGCCTTGGTATCTAGAGTGCTGGGCTGAACCGGGCCCGACCTCCTCATTGCTTCTGCCCAGGCCTAGGACTTGCTTCCCTACTGGACCTGGTCCCAAAGCTCACTGCTTTGCTGGGGTCCTGATCCACCTTCCTGTCCCTTCTCTCATTTCATTATCACCATATCTCCAGCAGGTACTCTGCAAAAAGATAGTTCTCCATTTTGCAGGTGAACAAACTGAAGTTCAGAGCTGGGAAGTAGCTTGGCTAAGGACAGCAGAAGCTTTCCCTTCTCTGTTCAGAGGCTGTGCTCTTCATATTTATTGATAACACAGCCACCAGTTCAGCTGTAACTTGCTTTTCTGTCTTTAATAACCTTTATTCTAGAACAATTTTAGATTTACAAAAAAAGTTATAAGGATGGCAAAGAAAGTCCCCTTCTACCCCTCATTCAGTGTCTCCGTCGTTGACATTTTCTGTTACCATGGTACATTTGTCAAAACTGAGGATCTGACATTGTATACTTGATTTTTGAATCAGGATTTTTTTTTTCTCTGTGGAATGAGCTCCAAATTTCTCTCTTCTGCATCCAAAAGTCCAATGAGGAGTGTGGATGCGTGTAATTCGGCCCATTCTGCACAATCACACCCACCCCATGGGTTCCTGCCTTGCCCAATGTCCCCAATCCCAAAAAACAGAAGAACCATCCAAGGAGAACCAGCTGCAGGGCCAGAGACTCAGATTCCTAGTCAGCCTCCTTCGGGTATTTCACTAATCAAGCTCCTCTTTCCATAAGGCTTCAAAGATACCTCTTGCCCACAAACACACTTCTACCCACTAATCTCTAAACTAACTCTACCTTCAATTCTTGTGGACACCCACCCAATATCAACTCCATCCTCAAAGCTGTCGGTCAGATTCAATAAAGCAAATATTTATTGATAACACAGAAATAAATCCAATTCTGTCCTGACTTTGAGCTGCTCCTGGTCCTTTGGGGGAAATAGACACCTTTGTATGTGATTAAAATAGCACGTGATGAGTGAAGCAGTGTAAACAGTGGTTAAGAGTTTGAGGTCTTCAATCAGAAATCTATGTGACTTTAGCTAGGTAGCATTAACTTCCATAAACATCAGTTTCTCATCTCTAAAATAAGGCTGGGGCTGGATGTGGAGGCTCACGCCCGTAAATCCAACACTTTGGGAGAACAAGGCAGGCAGATCACTTGAGGTCAGGAGTTCAAGACCAGCCTGGCCAACATGACAAAACCCCGTCTCTACTAAAAATACAAAAATTAGCCAGACATGATGGCACACACCTGTAAACCCAGCTACTTGGGAGGCTGAGGCCAGAGAATTGCTTGAACTCCAGTGGCAGAGGTTGCAGTGAGCAGAGATCATCCCAGCCTGGGCAACAGAAAGAGACTCTGTCTCTTCCATTGCCTTCTAGCATCTATTGTTACTGTTGGAAAGTCTACTGGACGCGGTGGCTCACATCTGTAATCCCAGCACTTTGGGAGGCTGAGGTGGGTGGATCACAAGGTCAGATGTTCAAGACCTGCCTGACCAACATGGTGAAATCCCATCTCTACTAAAAATACAAAAATTAGCCAGGCATGGTGGCACGTGCCTGTAATCCCAGCTACTCAGGAGGCTGAGACAGAAGAATTGCTTGAACCCGGGAGGCAGAGATTGCAGTGAGCTGAGATCGTGCCATTGCACTCCAGCCTAGCAACAGAGCGAGACTCCATCTCAAAAAAAGAAAAGAAAAGTCTATTGTTAGTCTGGTTGTCATTTCCTTACACATAATGTGTCTTTTATTTTTAATAGCTTTAGATTTCTATTTTTCCTTAATATTCTACAGTTGCACCATGAGGTGCTGGATGTGACTTTATGTTGATTTTTTCTGCTTGGGTCATTATGTTTATTTTCCATCTGAGAATGTATATCATCCAACAATTCTGAGACATGTTAACTATTATCTGTCCTAATGCTGTCTTTCCCTCATTCTTTCTGTTCTCCCTCTGAATTTCCTCTTAGTTGTATTTTGAAGGTGTGTCATTTTATTTGAAGGTGTGTCATCCAACCTGGATGACAGAGCAAGACCTGGTTTCAAAAATAAATAAGTAAATAAATAAATTAGATGACGACATCTGCAAAGATAGTTTTACTTTTCTTTTTTTTCCCCCAATTTGGATGCCCTTTCTTCCTTCCTTCCTTCTCTCTCTCTCTCTCTTTTTTTTTTTTTGCCTAATTGCTCTTGTTGTGCTACATCCTGTGTAATTTTCATCCCTCTATATGTTGAATTCAACAATTCTCTCCTCAGTTATGTCTAGTAAACTGCTTAGCTCATCCATTGAATTATTTTTTCAAAGGTTAAAGTTTTTAAAGAATTTACTTCAAATTCACCTGTTAATTTTTTATAATGTCTTATTTGTCTTATGTAATTTATTATTTTCTTTCTCTTTTGACTATTTTAAAACTCTATTCGAATTCTCAAAAAAAAAAAAAAAATAGCAAACTGAATCCAGCAGCACATTAAGAGTATCACAGACCGGCCAGGCTCTGTCACCCAGGCTGAACACAGCACACTACAGCCTTGACCTCCCGAGGTCAAGCAGTCTTCCCACCTCAGCCTCCCACGCAGCTGGGACTACAGGCATGTGCTACCGCGCCTAGTACCTAATTTTTGTATTTTTTGTAGAGGTAAGTTGTTATTATGTTGCCCAGGCTAGTCTTGAACTCCTGGACTCCACTGATCCTGGCCTCCTAAAGTGCTGGAATTATAGGCATGAGCCACTGCTCCTTTTTTTTTTTTTTTTTTTTTTTTTTTGAGATGGAGTCTTGCTCTGTCATCCAGGCTGGAGTGCACTGGCTCGATCTTGGCTCACGGCAACCTTCACCTCCCAAGCTCAAGTGATCCTCCCACCTCAGCCTCCGGAGTAGCTAGGACTACAAGCACACACCACGACGCCCAGCTAATTTTTGGTAGAGATGGAGTTTGGCCGTGTTGCCCAGGCTGATCTCAAACTCCTGAGCCCAGGTAATCCGCCTGCCTTGGCCTCCCAAGGTGTTGGGATTTCAGGCGTGAGCCACCGCGCCCGGCTTAGACTCAGTTCTGTTCTCTGCATTTCTCCTCTTTTTTTTCCTCTGTCTCCTCCTGTTAGCTAGAAGCTCAGTGCCAAGAATGAAATGGGGCTTGGGGGTTATTTTGTGAAGGGCTAGTTCTGAGGGCTGGTGCTGGGGTGGGAGGGGCAGCTTCAAGGGTGCCGGGCCCCTGTATGCAGCTGAGGCTGAGGAGGAAGGAGGAGACAGGCAGGGTGTCCCGGGCGTGGAAGCTGCAGGGCTGTCAGAGATAGAGACTTTCTGTGACACTGAGCAATGAGTATGTGGGGAAAGAAAGGCAAAAAGAAAAAAAACAAAGAGATAGAGACTTAATGACAAGCCCTGCGTCCACCTGCACAGATGAGCAGGGCTGGGAGGGAAACTGGAAAAGGGACACGTTCATTTTTCAGCACAGTTCTCTCTCCCGACACACACTCTCTCTCTCTTCTCTCAATAAAGAGCGGGAGGCTGCCTCTGTTCTGTCTCTCACTCCATTTCTACAAAGGACCCCCGGAGAGAGGTTGTGGGGAAGGCGTGGTGTTGCTTCCTCCACTGGGCCTTGTGGCTGTCAGCGAGCGCTGTTGCCTGGGGGACACCCAGCCAGCCCTGCGGGCCTGGGCCAGCTAGGGTGGTGGGGAGGGTCGGAGAAGCAAGAACAAGGTTGGGAGGCTGCAGGGTGCCCCGCACTTGACCAGGTACTTGGCCGGAACCCTAAGCCTCTGGAGCCCCACGTTGGCCCCTCAAAGGAGGCCTAACTGCAGCCCAGAAGACTTCTCAGGAACCCTCCCCACCGCAACACGCAGAGGGCTACAGGAACCCACAGACATTTACAAAGCCCAGAGCTGTTAACGCCTGCACTGAAGCTTGTGCCTGTAATCCCTTGAACTTTGGAGGCTGAGGAGGGAGGATTGCTTGAGCCCAAGAGTGTAAGACCCGCCTGAGCAACATAAGGGAGACCCCCATCTCTAAAATAAATAAATAAAAACTGCCACACCGGGTTCTCCTTCTTCTGCTCCAACCTGGGCCAGTAAGGGTGCTCAGCTCAACCTCCAGGCCAGGGAGAGACTGAGTTGCCTCTGAAGTCAGCATCTTAGGATGCAGTTCCAGCCCTCACAGCCCCAGCAAAACATCTGTTCCAGAAGAGTGGCTTCATCTAACCAGAGTTGTATCAACACTGTTCTAAGAACTAGGGGAATACCAACCCCTGGCACTGGGGAGAAAGCCGCTTCCTCCACTCCTTTGCTTGAGGAGGAGCTGGCATTGGTATCCAGTAAATACACACCTGCCCACACATAAACTGGAGGCTCCCTAATATACCTACAATCAAATAACAATAATCCCAACCCTGACCCAGAAGTGAAATTGCTGGATCATATGGTAAGTCCGTGTCTAAGTTTCTGAGGAACTGCCGTATCATTTCTACAGCTGCTGTACTATTTCTATTCCTACCAGCAATGTACAGGGGTTTCAATGCTCCACATTCGTATCAACACTTGCTATTTTCTGGATTTTTATTTGTTTTTGACAATAGCCTACCTAGATTGCCCTAGTAAGGTAGGGCCATCACTTCTGAATGTGGTCAACAGTCAACGTCTTCATTTCCTTGAGTCTGCTCACTCCATTCATTTCACTGATCAGGCTCCTGTCTCCATCAATCTACTGAGCCTTGCCTTGCTGTGATGGTTAATGTGATCACTTGAGTGGACAATGTGGTTTTTCAGATTAAACATTTGTTTCTGGATGTATCTGTGAGAGTGTTTCCAGCTGAGATTAGCATTTGAATCAGTGGACTCCCTAAAGTAGTTTTCCCTTCTCAGTGTCTGGACAGTATTCACTCCCTTGAGGGCCTGAATAAAACAAAAGGCAGAGGAAAGAGGAAATCTGTTGCTTTTTTTCCTACCTTGCTGCTTGAGCTGGGTCATCTTGATGGCAGTGGCGGGCCATTCTCTGTCCAACATATTCCATCTTTCCTTCATGGGCTCCTCTTTTCAGCCCACAGATGGTTGACATCAGACCCTGCTGGCCCCGGAAGCCTAAAGCCATCTCAAGAGAGGTTTAAGGCCAGGCATGGTGGCTCGCACCTGTAATCCCAGCATTTTGGGAGCCCAAGGCAGGAGGATTGCTTGAGCCCAGGAGTGTGAGACCAGAAAAAAAAAAAATGAAAAAATTAGACAGTCAGGTGCTCTGGCTCACATCTGTAATCCCAGCACTTTGGGAGGCCGAGGTGGATGGATCACTTGAGGTCAGGAATTCAAGACCAAGACCAGTCTGGCCTTGAACATGGTGAAACCCCGTCTCTACTAAAAATTACAAAAATTAGCTGGGTGTGGTGGTGAGTACTTGTAATCCCAGCTACTTGAGAGGCTGAGACAAGAATTGCTTGAACCCGGGAGGCAGAGGTTGCACTGAGCTGAGAGCGTGCCACGGCGCTCCAGCCTGGGTGACAGAGCAAGACTCCATCTCAAAAAAATAAAAATAGAAATAAAAAATTAGCCAGGCATGGTGACATCTGTCTGTGATCCCAGGTACTTAGGCCGCTGAAGTGGGAGGATCACTTGAGCCCCAGAGGTCAAGGCTGCAGTGAGCTATGATCATGCCACTGCACTCCAGCCTGGGCAACACTGTCTTTAAAAAAAGAGAGGCTTAAGCTCAATGATGCCATGATTAAAGCCAACATTCTCATCTTCAACAGTCTGGCTCTAACATAGGCCCCTCCGACATGACAGAAATCAAGGCAACCTCCTCATTACCTAGAGGCATTTCCCAAATTCTGACTAGGTCAGATTCTGCTAACGCCAGGACCTAGTGCAGGGAAAGATGGGACAGTCAGCGGCTAGGAGAGACTTTTGGCCCAGGCATCATATTCATGAGGAACCTACATTTTATACTTTCATTTCCGATTAAATTATACAGATTCACCTGACTTTTTTTTTTTGAGATGGAGCTTCGCTCTTGTTTCCCCGGCTATTATGCAATGACTCCATCTCAGCTCACTGCAATCTCCGCCAACCAGGTTCAAGCAATTCTCATGCGTCAAGCCTCCCGAGTAGCTGGGATTACAGGCACCCAGCACCATGCCCAGCTAATTTTTGTATTTTTAGTAGAGATGGGGTTTCACCATGTTGGCCAGGCTGGTCTTTTTTTGTTTTGTTTTGTTTTCTTTCCAGGCTGGTCTTGAACTCTTAACCTCAGGTGATCCACCCACCTCAGCCTCCCAAAGTGCTGGGATTACAGCCGTGAGCCACCGTGCTTGGCCAATTCATCTGACTTTTAAAAAACTGTTGAAAGGACTAATTTATTAGGGTGCTATGAACTAAATATTCACAGTATTTCTCAAGAGCCATAAAGACACTTTGATCTAAGAATTTTGAGAACCTACCCCAAGCAAATAGTATGAAATATGAGAAAAAATATGAATAAAGATGTTCATTCTAACATTATTCATTATAAGCAGCTTAAATATCTAACAATAGGGAATTAGATATTTAAGAATGGGTTATTCAATGGAACATAATAAAACTATTAAAAATAATGGTTTCCATGCTATGCAACAGCATGGAAAATTATTGCAATGTTAAGACGAAAAATTAGGATTCATCATGCTTATGCACTATAATTGCAACTATGTAAAAAGTATTATTAGGGAAAACAATCTGAAAGAAAATACACCAAGAAAAGTCCTCCCTGGTATCTTTAGCCCCTCCTCTCACCTGGTAATTATCACTGGTCTTTTTTTTTTTTTTTTTTTTTTGAGACGGAGTCTCACACTGTCGCCCAGGCTGGAGTGCAGTGGCAGATCTCAGCTCACTGCAACCTCTGCCTCCCAGGTTCAAGCAGATCTCCTTCCTCAGCCTCCTGAGTAGCTGGGATTACAGGCTCGCAACACTACGCCCAGCTAATTTTTGTATGTTTAGTAAAGATGCAGTTTCACCACGTTGGTCAGGCTGATCTCGATCTCCTGACATCATGATCTGCCCACCTCGGCCTCCCAAAGTGCTGGGATTACAGGAGTGAGCCACCGTGCCCACTATTATGGGTCTTTCATTCTCATATTAACAATTTCTTCTCAGTAGATGTAAAGCACTATGGAAATACAGCCTCAAGATTCAGTCTTTTCTATCAGGTTGCTATCCCAAGCCCCTCTTATGATCAGAGTAACTCCATAACCCTACTTCTGAAACTTGTAGTTGGGGACCTTATAACATAACATATAATTTATAATGCAACATAATTATAATATAATATATAATATGCCTTAGTATTTCTCTTTGTTGCTAAATAATATTCTATTGTATGACTGTATCACATTTTAAATCCATTTATCATTTGATGGACATTTGGGTCATTTCCATTTAGGTTATAATGAATAATTCAGCTATGACATTGTGTACAAATTTTTGTGTGAATATTGTATATGTTTTTGATTCTTTGGGGTATATATGTACCTAGGAATGGAAACGCTGGGTCGTATGTTTAAACACTTTAAACGATGGAGGAACTGCCTGATTCTCTTCCAAAGCAGTTGTACCATTTTACATTCCCACCAGCCGGTTCTGAGAGCTCCAATTTCTCCACATTTCATCCACACTTATTATTTGTTCTTTGGATTATGAACACTTGTGGGTGTGAAGGAATATTTTAGTGTGGTTTGATTTGCATTTTTCTGATGGCTAATGATGTTCACTATTCTTCTGTTTTTGAGACAGAGTCTCCATCTGTCACCCAGGCTGGCATGCAGTGGACAACAACAGCTCACTGCAGCCTCAAAATCCCAGGCTCACGCAATCCTCCCACTTTGGCCTCCCAAAGTTGGGATTACAGGCATGAGCCACTGCGCCCGGCCACTATTATTATTATTATTATTATTATTATTTGACCTCCAAATCTCTTTTATTGGGGGAAATGGGCCTCTTGGGGGTCCTCACTGCACGCCTTGTTCATTGGCATTGCTTCCCGAGTCCTGGGGCTTCATCACATCGGGCAGCTCTGGCGGGCTGGAGAACCGCTCGATGCACAGGGCCTCAAAGGGGTCCTCTGTCTGGAAGGCCAGCCCCACTCTGGCTGGGGGCTGTGGCCGTGCTGTTTGACTGGTGAAGCCACACTCGCCCAGTGTCTTGCCATCATCCAACAGTTGGTCGTCCTCATACAGCTGCTGCTCGTCAGGCGGCCGCTTGAGAATGTCCTCGACAATGCGCTTCAGCTTGAACACCATGCTGGACGCCTTGGTGACCGCGAAGATGGTGGTCACGTGGCACCGGATCATGAGGAACAAGTCCAGCGCGTCTCCACCCGGTTCCCGGCAGCCAGCCCACGGCCCGGCCTGACCCACACAGCCCCCTATTCATTTTTAATCCAAACCAGTTGTTGTTGTTGTTGTTTAAATAAGGTTAAAATGTTCCCATTATAAAAGTAATTATTGCATATTCTTCTATATTTTGAGGGAAAAAAACCCAAAGAGTTAAAAAATTTAAGCCACACCCAAATAGCACCATCTAGAGCTAACTGCTAGGAATATTTCCGTGGATTTCCTACTAATTTTTTTTTTTTTTTCCTATCCTTTCTAGGATATGGTTGAGGTCATGTGATATTTGCAATTTTGCTTCTGGCTTTTTCACTTCATATAGTAAAATAGGAATTCTCCAACCTTTTCCTGAATGTTACTTGATGTAACATTTTCCTTAGCCATTCCCTTATGAATGGATGCTTGGTTATGTCTAAGTGCATTTAATATTCTGAATAATGCAGTAACATGGTGCTTTGATATTATTGCTCTTTAATGTCTGTGTTCCATTTGTCCAGTAAGGCTCAGATCTCTCTCGTTGTTGTTGTTGTTGTTGTTGTTTTGAGACGGAGTTTTGCCCTTGTTGCCAGGCTGTAGTACAGTGACATGATCTTGGCTCACTGCAGCAACCTCTGCCTCCCAGGTTCAAGCGATTCTCCTGCCTCAGCCTCCCTGCGTAGCTGGGATAACAGGAGCCCACCACCACGACCCAGCTAATTTTTTGTATTTTTGGTAGAGACGGGGTTTCCGACGTTGGCCAGGCTGGTCTCAAACTCCTGACCTCAAGCAATCCACCCACCTCAGCCTCCCAAAACGCTGTGATTACAGATGTGAGCCACTGTGCCTGGCCAGGATCAGATCTTTAAAAAAATCTGTCTTTTCTTCCCTTTCCATCCACCTACATCCTTCTGAAACAGTCCTCAGTCCAAAGCAGACACATTTAAGTCCTTATTATGGCCCTGTTCTGAGCACTTGACAAATAGTAAAGCATTTAATCTTCACAACTTCCCTGTGAAGTAGGGTACTATTATTATCATCCCTTTTGTTCAAGGTCATCAGCTAGTACTGAGGCAGAGGCAGAATTTTTCTTTTCTTTTCTTTTTTTCTTGAGACAGTGTCTTCCTCTGTCATCCAGGCTGGAGTGTAATGGCATGAACTTAGCTCACCACAACCTCCGCCTCCCAGGTTCAAGCAATTCTCCTACCTCAGCCTCCTGAGCAGCTGGGGCTATAGGCATGCACCACTACGCTCTGCTAATTTTTTATATTTTTAGTAGAGATGGGGCAGGCTGGCCTTGAACTCCTGACCTTGTGATCCACCTGCCTTGGCCTCACAGTGAGCCACTGCTACCCAGCCAAGTATTTGAATTCTGGTAGCCTGGATCCAGAGTCTGAACACTGAACCACCAGTCATCTTGCTTTCCTGTCATGGTAGTGGTGGAGAGAATGAAAAATGAGACAGTCAGGCCGGGCGTGATGGCTCAAGCCTGTAATCTCAGCACTTTGGGAGGCTGAGGCGGGTGGATCACGAGGTCGAGAGATCGAGACCATCCTGGTCAACATGGTGAAACCCCGTCTCTACTAAAAATACAAAACATTAGCTGGGCATGGTGGCACGTGCCTGTAATCCCAGCTACTCGCTGAGGCAGGAGAATTGCTTGAACCCAGGAGGCGGAGGTTGCGGTGAGCCAAGATCGCGCCATTGCACTCCAGCCTGGGTAACAAGAGCGAAACTCTGTCTCAAAAAAAAAAAAAAGAAAGAA